CATTTTATTATGTTTTAGAATCCATTTGCTCAGTTTCTCTCTCCTGACTTACATATATGAAAGTCTGTTTATTTCAGATGAGATACTTTGGAAAAAAATGAATGAGAAATGCTGTTTCATATCGTACATGAACTGAAAAATACAGATTGTATTAGGGAGATAATGTGGTATTTGGCACATTGGGACTATGCATTGTCCCTTAAAACATCAGTTAATTCCTATGTCACTAATATGTGATACTATTTTAATTAAACTATTTCCAGTCATCATATAAGTAAAATTGGAGTTTTCATGTTATAAGGAACAATAATTTCAGTATCTTAAATGTGATAAAAGGAAAATTCTATTATATTGCTAAATTTATTTTATTTATCTGGACTGGAAATAAGAACCATGGAAAGCGGGGCTGGAGAGATGGCTCAGAGGTTAAGAGCACTGACTGCTCTTCCAGAGGTCCTGAGTTCAATTCCCAGCAACCACATGGTGGCTCACAACCATCTGTTATGAGATCTGGTGCCCTCTTCTGGTGTGCAGATATACATGGAAGCAAAATGTTGTATACATAATAAATAAATAAAATCTTTAAAAAAAAGAACCATGGAAAGCAATGGTATTTTCTATTACTGTATTTAGTCCCTGTGCATTAATGCAAAGTATGAAACATCCATGCAGAAAATTATGATTTTTTTTCAAATTTATAAAGCCATTTATTTCCTTTAATTTCAAGACAAGCATACAAAGTCTGCTATGGAGTTCACGATATTGCCAAAAAGTTTTGGTATATATCTTTCATGGAAGTAAAAGACCTGCAAAATCATAAGGTTAAAAAGAAATTGAAAATGATGCAAGAAGATAGAAATAACCCCATGCTCACAGATTGGCAGTGTGTCTTAACATCCCTTTTTATCATCATCTAGAAGTACAAAAACCTCCACAAAATGCACTTCAGTCTGTTAATTTTTGATTCCAAGGACATCAGCAGTAATTTAATTTTCACAAACTAAGTAAGTAGTGTTCAGTGGTTTTTATGGAACATTTTGGATAACTAATATAAAGTGTGGTTATTTGAATACTGAATAAAGCTAGAGAGCAACTAACTTCTAACGACAAAGGCCAAGCATAATACTGATGTTTGGCATGCATATATCCATTTGTTTCTTCCTCTGCCTTTTTTCTGTTGCTTTCCTTTCCAAACAGGTGGGCATTTACATCTATTTTTTGCCTCACATCCTTTTAAAGAATTAGTATTTTAAAACAATCCAGAGATTATGTGACTTTTCCCATATAATTATTTTTATATTTATTCATATAAATATATCTTACATAAATACTGTGACCATCATGCTATTTTTGAAAATACAGTATTTTCAGATTTAGATATTGAATGGCAGTGATGTAGCATGCTCTCCTAGAATCTCCAGTGTGTTTTTCCTGGAGTGAGTGAATGGATGAGATATTTTCATGTGTCTAACTACTGCTAGCCTTAGCTCATGTGTCCAGGCTCTATCTCTCATCTAATCCTCTACGTTTTGTGTATCTGAAATTGCTGGACATAAATGTGTATTTAATTTGGTGGAAAGACTGATTTAAAGTAATTTTATAAAACTGTGAAGAAAGACTTACATTTTGTAGGTTTTATTCAGTATTTGAAGGACTATGTGTCATTTGGTTTGGGTATGTAATTTAGAGTGGAAGCTCATATTAGAATGAGCTGGACATGTTTTCACAACACTCCCTCTGCTTTGTGGGATGCTGCCTACTTTGAGGACAAGGCTTCTTGGCTGCCAGATATATCCGATTAAAAGGATCGTTGTATAGCTAGTATCATTTATTTCACAGTCAGGCACTGAAACACAAACAACACTGACTGGCACAAGACCAAGCTGTTATTAATCTAGCAAAGTTGAGGAGATTTCCTCTCATCTGTCTTTTTCACTGTACCTTTTACAGTGTTTCCTAAGAATTCTGCTTTTACGGACTTATGTGGAGCAAAACAGCTCTCGAACTTTGTGGAAATGATCTGTTCTATAAAGTGCTTACCATGCAAGCATGAGGACCTGAATTTCATCACTAGAAATCACATAAAAGCCAGCCTTGGCAGTCATGTTAGTGAGACTCTAACCTCAAAAAAGAAAGAAAGAAAGAAAGAAAGAAAGAAAGAGAAAGAAAGAAAGAAAGAAAGAAAGAAAGAAAGAAAGAAAGAAAGAAAGAAAGAAAGAAAGAAAGAAAGGATTTTTGGTGTTGTAGTCATCTTTTTTTTTTTCTAATAGCCAGAAATGGTAATACAAGGCTGCTATCCTAGGCTGGGAAGGGGGTTCCTTGGGCTCACTGGCCAGTGAACTTAGCATAGTCATAATGAGAGACTCTAATGAAGAATGACACAAGTTTACCCATACCCTCCTCAAGCATGTATGCGCACTGACATCCACAGAAATATGTACCTACACATACACATTCACAAAAACCCTAAAAGCCTAAAATGTTTCTAATATAATCTAAACTGGAGAAATAGAGTCAAATAATTTTGTTTAGTACAAAATTTCTAGAGATTTTCACTTAGTTGTGGTGGTACTGGTATTATTTTCTTTTTTCCTTTTCATTGAAAATAGATTTTTAAAATGGTATATCCAGATTATGGTTTCCTTTTCCTCTGTTCCTCCTCACCTGCCCTCCCAGACCAGTCCATCCCCTTTCTGTGTCTTATTAAAAAACAATCAGGGTTCAAAGGAATAGTGTACTATAATTACTATAATAAGATAACACAAAATGTACAAAGAAATAGAGCCCAAGAGAAGGTCCAATAAACCGACTCACTGGTTTGCACACTCAAGAGTCCTATAAGAACACTAAACTGGAAATATATATCCTGGTCCACACCTGTGCAGAACTGTGCCTACTGTCTCTGAGTTCAAATGAGCTGTTCTCCTGTTAATTCAGATGGCCTTGTTTTATTTGGTATCCTCAATCATCCCTGGCTCTTAGACTCTTTGCTTCTCTCTTCCATCGTGCTTCCTGAGTTCTGAGGGGAGGGATTTGATAGAGACATCCCACTTAGGACTAAGTGTTCCAAGGTCTCTCACCCTTTGAACTATGTCTTGTTGTGGGTCTCTATATTTGATCCCATTTACTGCATGAGGAATCTTCTGATGATGGCTGAGCAAGGCACTGATCTATGAGTATAGCAGAATGTATTGGGAGTTATTTTATCACCACATTTTTTAGACCAGTATTATTTGGTTTTACCGTAGAGCCCTGGCCTATTTCATATCAGGTTCTTTTTTATTTTCTTAATTAAATTTATTCATTTATTTTACATCCTTACCACAGTTTTCCCTGTCTCCTCCTTTGTTAATAAAATACATATATTCGTGGCTTTTCCTGAATGGAAAAATTGTGTTCTGCTTTCAAACAATTTTTAACAAACACCAATTTTTTAGATCAAATCCTAACTACACCCATTTGCGTGCATTATTATGTGATATCACTCTACAAAGTAATGGTTCATTATAAGTGAGTCATTCCTGCAAGGATAATGTCATTTATTGCCACAAGAGGGGAGTATTATATACCAGTGAGTAGGTATATAATTCCCAGTACCCTCTTGCAACGAGAATGGGCAGATAACAGGAACTTGCCTTCAGGCCTTATCTGAAGGAGGGAAACAAGAAGTATTTGCTAGATAAGCTCCTAGTCACAAGCTGATCCTCAGATCCCTATGGATGAAGGGCCCAACAAAAATCATGTGATCATGGCTTACTCAACTGACTTCACTACATAGTAGAGGGCTGTGGAAGAGTTTAACATCACTGGGAAGATCTACGTTGCTAGGATTTCTGTCTAAATGGTGTCTTTAATGTTCCAATGTATGCTTGTCTCATTCTTTGAAGATACAATTGTGTTACTTGGTGAGTTACATTTATTAAAATGATAAAATAATAAATAATAACATGATATAAAATAACATAGCAAAACAATCAAAAAACTTTTGTTTTGCAAACCTGTCGGGTTTTTGTTCTTAAAACATTCTACCACGTGTTTACGCCATTTCCTGGTTATGCATTCTAATTTTCTCTATTGTTTATCAGGTACACCGCTGTCATATACTGATGGATACTGGGACTTTTCTGTGCACTGTATTTAAATATGATTCTTATTCCTGTTTTGTTTTAAAGAGTTTGGAATACAAAACATTTTCTACAATAAAGGAATTGAACATAAAAGTCTGAATTTAGTATGGAAAATAGCTAGGATAGAAACTTACAGAACAATATTTCAATTGACATCATGTTAAATATGCAAGGTAAAAGAGTTACACAAGCATTGTGGACAGACTCCTGCCCAGGGCATACTAAAATAACACAGTATAGCAGGTCCAATTAGAGAGGAAATTAACCTTTGACTTTAATTCTTAGATCATTGGTTGGCACCATTATTAACGGGGTGTTGATGTCTATTTTAGAAAACTGAAGTTAGATCTAATTGTGTTTAGAATTGCAATGGTTCTCTTCTTCTTTCATACTTTTTAACACAAAAGCAATTCACATAGAAAAGTTGGAAAAGTCAAGAAAATGGCATAAAATAATGATCTTTGATGCTGATGTGTGCTATCATTTCTCAAACTATTGTCAGCTGCCCAATATAAGCTTAGTAACATAAATCCTGCAATGTGTTTCAAGTGGATAATTTAAATACAGTTGTCCTGTGATACTTGTCATGTGCTTTCAGTCTACATCCTCACATGTATTTTAAGAGAAAGTGCTGGATGTTTCTAGAATGCTTCCAACCTGAAGGACTTGGGAGAGAAGTTAGTTTTAATTGGGCTATATGAGCATTTAATGTGAGCGGTAATACCCGGCTGGAAATCTGCATAAGCAATGGCATCCTTTAGAATGTAGCTCTGTCTTTTGAAGCATGTATACTGAGCAAGCAAGAAGATGAATGTGAAAAGGTCTATTAGCATAATTTATAAAGTTGTTTGTTATCTTTCTTTTCCTTCATAGCCTGAAAGAAATGAGAGTGAACCAGGCAGCCAACGAATTAAACCAGTTTTTATTGAAGATGCTAACTTTGGACGCCAGATATCCTATCAGCATGCAGCGGTCCATATTCCCACGGACATCTATGAGGGCTGTAAGTAGAAAGACTATGAAGAGCTATTGGGATGCAGAGCATGTCTTACAAGTATCTGGAGAAACAAAATAGGAGCGAGTCTGAAACTGTCTCAGTTACAAAGTACAGGAGTCCATGGGAAGACGTGAGCCACAGCTCTGTAGTGGATTGCTTGATCAGTATGTAAGGCCTGCCCTGGGTTCAGTCTCTAGTAATAAATACTACAAAACTAAACAATCACAGAAAGCAACAACAACAACAAAATGCCATAGGTAGACTCTACTTACACAGTGACCAATGGTATTTTTGTGTACAGTTTCTATCAGATAACTTCTAGGATTCCCTATTGGAAAGTATGGGTTGTTCTGATCTACTCTTGAGTAAATAATTCTGATATCACAATTAGTATAGATAACTTCAAAAGTATATAGATTTGTTCTTTAGAAATCAAAATAGCACAGCTATGCATTATGTATGCATAAGCACACCAGCTGGGTAAGGGAGAGACAGTTGTGTGCTTCAGACTGAAATTTTAGACTGCTATCTTTACCATTTCTTGCAATGTCTGTCAGTGTGACTTTCTTTTCTTTACTCTAGAACAGATTAAGAATGCCTTAATTTTCCAGTATTGTGTGGGATCAAATTACAATTGAACTTTCCTCTTGGGAAAGGAAATTGACCTGGAGCTCTCAGTTAAGATGGCCCCAATGTAAGAAAGAGAAGAGGGTGTGTGATTAGGAAGTAACAGAGATAAACTTGTGTTGTGTTCTGGTGATTTCTACATATTAATGACAGTGGATCTGTGGGTCCTAAGGAGAGATTTCCCTAAGGAAAGTCTGATGTTTTGTGATTCAGGCAATTGGTCTTGACTCAGTCATAGCCTTGGGTTCCCTTGTGATTCATTTCCTAGGCTTTTTCCTGAATCCCTTTCTGTGTCTCATGACCCAATTCCTGGCATAAATAAAAAACAAGAGGAACAACTTACTGTGCATTTAAAAACTATCTTTTTCATGTTATCATTAAATGGAGAAGCTGTGGAGTTTATCAAGTATGCAGAGCATACCTGAAATTGAATCCAGGGGCCAGACTGCATGAGCTGGGATCTAAACTTTAGCAATATCGTTTGGTCAACTAAGTCCCTCACCTTTCTCAGCAAACATTTTCCTACATGCAAAATGAAGTTAAGAGTACAGATCTGAAAGGTCATTTGAGGACAAATAACAATATAATTTCAGTTCTCTAAATAATAGCAAACTCAAGGTAGGCTAATAGCAGAATTTGCTGTTATTATCTTCATCTTACATTTATTGAGATGAATAAATGTGTGAGGAATTTTTATGAAGTATATTTTATTGGTCGAAATGTTCTGAGGCTATTGATTGAGGAAATGTAAGATGCATGCCTGCATCTTTGTATAACATCAATTTCGTCTCCTGTTACCTTGTATTATTCATTCATTCATTAATTCTGTCCACTTTTGTTTCCTGTGGTGCTGGAGGTGGCACTCAGACTCTCACACTCACTGGACAAGTGCAATGTCACCAACTCACATCCTCAGCCTTTATCCTTCTCATTATTTTAAAGACACTTGCTAACTTGAGTGTACAGCTTCTTTCAGAATTTGGTTGTCCTCACCTTTAGTGAGAAAAGGGTGTGTGCATAAATCTTGTTAACACATGACCATGAAAATAATATCTTTCTTACTAATTCACAATTAGTTCCAAAGACTTTTACATACAACATTTTGTTATTTGTGAACTACAGTATTGATTATTGCGACTACTTTACAAGATCCTTGGGACTGAAGAAACGGCTCAGTAGCTGCTCTTGCAGAGGACCCAGGTTCGGTTCCCAGCACCCACTGAGGCCTTCTTCTTACTTCCATGGACAGCAGGCATTCACATGGTACATAGGCATATATGCAATTGAACATAAAGTAAAAATAAAATAAATTAATGCTTCACAAAACTGGATACAGTGAATGCTAATGTCTTTGGTAATGCTCCTCAATTTTTTAAAAAAAATTTCACTTTATATAATTTCAATTTTCCTATCATTAGTTGTGCTTTTACAATGAAGAACAATGACGTGACAATATATGAAATTGTGACTCAAACTGTTTTGCTTTGCATTCCATGAGTTATCTGTGGGTCTCATGACAATCTTCCAACTAGCATGACTGGTTGAAGAAACCAGAGGCTACCTTGGGTATTGTTGACTTGTTAGAAACCGTATATAATTTTGTTTTTTTGTCTGGTATTTCACATTTTTCCCCATTCTGATATTCAAGTGCCAAAAAGACACCCTCAGCCAGTGATTTTTTTCACCAAACAGCTGTATTGTGTGGCTTCTTTTCTCTAGCCCTTGTATCTCATGAATGCTTGATATGAAATGAATAAACTCATATGCCTAAATAAAGGAGCTGAAGCTCTGCCTGAACGTCTCACTTTGTCCCTCAGCAGGAGACAGGTCTGACATCTGTTGTCAAAAGAGAGCCTTTCTATAAGTTTGTAGATTAACACTGGTGATTTCAGAGCCAACATTGTCCACAAGAAGGAAGACACTTTACGGGAGAAGCTTCATTTCCTCCTTCTGTGGATTTGCTTTATTATTTTTAATTATGTATATGTTTCTGCCTGTGAATGTGTATGCACACATGAGCGATAGTGGTCCCGGGAGTCTTTAGAGGACACCACATCCCCTAGAGCTGGAGTGGTAGACTCTGCAACATGAGTGCTATGAACCAAATGCACTCTGGAAAATCTCTTTTCTTGATCAAGTCGTTATTCATGCAGGTGTGTGTGTGTGTGTGTGTGTGTGTGTGTGTGTGTGTGTGTGCGCGCGCGTGTGTGCGGGTGTGTGCGCGCATGTGTGCCCACGCACTGAATTACGTTGACCCACCACAATACTCAGTATCTTTATGTGCGTTCTAGAAATGCCCTCTTGTCCTCACTCTTTGAATGAGTCCTTCTCCCGGCTCCCTGTCGTGCTCTTCCTCTTGGGAGTTCTCACTGTGTGCCTCTCCCTCTGTGTCTGGAGGCCAGAGGCTGATGCTGGCTGTCTCTTGCAGTCAGTCTTTTTATTTTTTGAGACAAGGTCTCTCACTGATTCAACTACGCTGGCTATTCAGACAGCTCCAGAGATCCACCAGTGTCTGCCCTCACACCCACTCCTACCACCGCAGGAGTTTCAGACTTAGTTGCTACCTACCTGGTCCTTTCCTGTGTAATGAAGACTCAAACTGAGATCCCCATGCTTGGCCCTTCCAGGTGAAGCCATCTATCTCCCCATCCCCCCCACTTCTGATTCTTAAGGTCTTGCTATTTTTCAGCAAAATAGCATTCACCTATAATGTCTTAATATATTTTTAACCAAAGAACAGATGTGAAAAACTGGTAGAGAAAAGCATACATTTTTAAGAATATTATTTTTTTACACACCACACACTAATTTTTAAAACTTATATCAGTTTTGAAGATATCAATACTTTTGTTTCCAATTTAGAATAAATTATTTTTAAGCATCTTTAAAAATAATAAAGGTCACAAAGAATAATATTATTTGCTTGAAAATCAATGAGATAAATGCCTATGTTTTTAAACATTACAGTGTAGTATTTGGCTTACTTTGGAAAAAAAGAAAAATTCAAAAATTGGATCATTTGTTTTGCGTCATTTTTTTCTTAATATTCCATCCTCATTTTCTGATGTCTCATCGGTGTGCTGCTAACTAACCTCTTGTGGCCCGTACGCCTTTAGAATTCACATCCAGCATTTGCGCTGCATGAGCAAATGACAGGAGTCAAATTAGAAATGTCAACAAGATCTGGAGAGTCTATAATTCCCAGTAGCCGGCAGGCGGTTCCTCAGAACCAGCCAGATATGAGGACTGCTGCAAGTTCCGAGTTTAATGAATATGAAAGTGCCCTGTAATTGAAGGCTTACCACAAGGAGCAGCCTCTCCTTTCGCTCAAAGGCATTTGTGTAGCTACATCTCGGAAACAATCTCATGTTCAAATTTCCCAAAGGAAATTACTTTTTAAAGTCCTTTGAATTGAAATGTTATTATTTTCAGTCAATTATATATTTAAATTTTCAAAATTGTAGCCTTAATTAGAACACAATCTAAATTTTTCATGTTTGGGAATCTCATTGGTTGCTACATCTTGATTTGCACCCAAACCACTTAACTTTCAGATCTCATTTAGAACATGAACAAAAACAAGCTCTGAATATTGCGAACTAATTAGTTTTCTCAGTTGTTTATTTGTTTCTTCATGATTGCAATGACATGGGTCAGGGTCATACTAGGTAGACACTCTACTGCTGAGATGCACCGCAAAGCCCCAGATTTGTTTGAGCACTGAAATGTACCAACATCTTCATCATTTCAGGACTATCTTCTTAGACTATGCTATAGATTTATACTCATTGTAATAACCTGTATGGTTTTGTATTAAGTTTGTAGAGAATGTATGTAGTGTTTTGACTGCATGTCTGTGAGTATACCATGTACCTGCCCAGTGACTTTGAGGCCAGGAGAGAGCAAAGATCCTCTGAAACTGGATTTAAAGGGTTATGAGACATCACTTGAGTGCTGGAAACTGAACCATGGTCCTCTGAAAAAGCTGCAAATGCTATTAACAACCGTGCCATCGTCCCAACCCCATACAACTTTCTTCTTTAAAACAAAGTTAAGTATGTTAATCTTTCAGAGTCAGGCAGGTGGATACCAGTGAGTTAGATGTCAACTTCTGGTCTATATAATGAGTTCCAGACCATTCAGGGCTACAGAGTGAGACCACAACTAAAAAAAAAAAAACAATAATTACAAACAAGCAAGAAAAAAAATGTCCAAGAGCAGCAGAGTAAGGGACTGAGATTAGAATGTGACTAAGAGTCTATGTAACAGAGAAAATGCCTCACTGCCCCATACCAAGAGCTGAAAGGTGTTGTGCAAAGAGTGTTTCAGGGTCCAGCACGTGAGGTTTTCTTCCTTCAGAAGTCAGGGCTCTAGATCTT